GTGGAGGCCGGGGCGGGGGGCTGGCTCCCCGTCCCACTCTGGTGCTGGGAGAGCCGGGGGCTGGTGGGCAGCGACCGCTCTTGGGGAGCTGGACTCAGCCCTCGCCGCCCTGGTTTGACCCCGGCGGTAGCGGCGTTAAGTATAGATGTTTCCGAGTGCCGAATATATAGATCAGGAGTTGGGATCGTTAGCAGTCTGGGGGAGAAACTGAGGCACGGAGTGAGGGAACGAAGGGAGCACAGGTCTCTGCACCCCGGGACGGGGCTTCCTCCTGAGCTGGGCTCACAGTAAACAACTCTGTTTTGGACGCAGCTCCCTCGGAGACCATGGAGTGAATCCAGCTGAGCTCTAGCACCGAGGAAGTTCACTGGGTTTAGGTCCTGGCGGGAGGGTGGTGGGCGGAAGAGTAAGGTTGGCCCAAATCCCCATTGCCGGGGCCAGCCGCCTGACACTGTGCCACGGGCTGACCCGGCAGTGGGGCTCCCTCCACGGCCCCGATGGGCAGCCACACGCCGATGCCCGCAGGCAGCCCCGCTGCCGGCAGCGTTGTGCTGACCGTGGCGGTATCTCCCTTTGTTCCCTGGGTTTTGTCGCGAGCGCAAACAGCCACCGCGGTCGTGGGCCCCCCCCGAGCTGGCCGGCTGCGGGGTGCCAGGTCCTGCCGGCAGGTAGGGTACCGTGGCCAAGCCGTGGGAAGCCTGCCTGTTTACTTCCCATCTGCCCCAGCGAAACCACAGGAATTTGGAGCCTGGTGGAGGTCGGGAGGTCTGTTTAGCCCCGGTATCCTGTCGGACCCCGGCCGGTCCCTGTTGTTGTGAGAGACGGAGCCAGGGCCGGCGAGGAGATAACCTTTCCCCCCGGAAACGTCCCCTGCTCGCCCTGGAGAGCCGCAGGCTGGTTCGTGTCCCCGTAGCAGGAGGATTTATGGTCCTGTGCATGTTCTGGCGTGTCCTGCCAATAGTTCCTCGCTGAACTCTGGCTAGCTCCTGGTCGTCGGCAGTCCCTCCGGGAACGTTGTTCTGCTTTTGGCACCGGCGTGCCGGCGTTGGGACGGCGAGTTCCCCAGCTTGGCGCTGATCAGCGTGCCGATAGCCCTGGCAGGAGCCGAGCTTTGCCTCCCACCCCGGCGAGCCGTCTCGCCGTCCCCGGCTCTGATGCTGCCGGCTGCCTTTCCACTTCCAGAGTCGCTGCCGGGGCTGCTCCACGCATCCCATGGCACAACTGCAACGGCATCCCGATGCCAGGGACAGGACCAGACCTGTCACCCGCGCCGGGGAGGAGGCGGTCACCGGGGCGCCTGGGCTGCCCGCACTAACAGGACTTTCTGCCCCCAGGTCCTGGGAAGACTCGCTGGGGAGCCCAATTTGAGGGTGTGACAGCGGGCCTGTCCCCTCCCGGAGCTGGCGGTGGCAAGGTGTGATCCGTGCCCTGTCTCCGGCAGCTGTCTGCCAGGCAGCAACATCAAAGGGCCGCGTGAGCCGAATCCCCAAGGGGCAGCGCACCAGAAAGTGGGGCTGAGCAGCCGGTGTGTCCTCCCTGCTCGGTGTGCCGGTTCTCCCTGGCTCCAGGCAGCAATGGGGGGACCCGACCGGTCCAGCACAGCCCCTGCCCCAGCACCTGGCAGGGTGGGGAGAGCATCATCCTCTGATCTCTGGGCTGGAGGGCACTGCCTGGGGTGCTCTGCACGGCAAAGCCGGGGAGGCTCGTTTGGAGCCAGCCTGGCCGGCTGGGATGCTTTCCCCCTCTGCAGGTTTGGCTCTTCCAGCCCGTGAGCGGGATGAGCTGGGGGCAGGACGCGTGGGAGCGTGGCCAGACTCGGCGTTTCTCCTGTGCGCACCCGTTCACTGGCCTCTTTCTTTAAGCCACTTGTGCCTCTGGTCCCCCTGGGTGACTGGTGCTAAGTGGGATGGGGGGGATCTTGTGGGAAGCCTGCACCATCAGGGCACGCGGTCCCCACTGCCTGCCCTGCACCTAGCCAGGGCTGTCCCACCCTCCACGCTGGCTGCAGGACCCTGCTGTCCTGCAAGCAGACAGCCATTTGCAGGGGAAATTGTGTCCCTGGAGACCTGGGGCTCCCAATCTTTGGAGCTCATGGTCCCAAAGGGCAGGTGGGAAGCAGCGCGTGGTCTGTCGGTATGCTTTATCCTGCACTTGCAGGTCCCATGCCCTCCCCTTTCCCCAAATCCCTGCTGGGACTTGGCGGTGCTCTGGGCTCGCTGCCCCAGGATGGGCAGCGCTGCCTGCCAGCCTGCCTGCCTGCCTGCAAAGTCTCTCGGGTTACAGAGCAGCTTTCCCTGGTAGGTAGCTGGAGAGGCGGTGGCGGCGAAGCTGCCCTGGCCTGGTTTCCTTTGTGAAAGCGCCGGCAGCGGGAATGTCACAGGATCCGCTCTCCACTCCGCAAGCAAGAAGAGTAAAAAAAAGAAGGGCTCTGTGTCCTGCTCCCCCTGGGCAGGATGGGGCCAGCGGCTGGGTTGTGCGGGCAGCAGCATCCCGCCGTGCTGCCGTCATCTCTTGGGGTGAACTGGGAGCGAAGCGTTGAGGGGTGGGGGAGATTTTGGCTGCTACGAAAAGGCTTCGTGGGCAGGAGCGTCGAGGTGGGACACGGTGGCTTGTTTGGAGGCTGTGACGGTGATGGAGAGCTGCTGGCCGGGGAGGCTGCCGCGGCGCGCCGGTAACGCTCCAACCTCCCCGTGGCCCCTTTGCCGAGGCTTGCAAAGTATCTCACAAATGCTGAACTTGGCCCCGAAATCTAAATACAAGGGAGGGACAGTCCCCAGATGGCCTAAATCAGCAGCACGGTTGCCTGGCCCAGCTGGGGAGCTCGCCGGGAGTGTTTGTTTTATGTAAAACCAAAGGCTGGAGGAATGCCGGCCTGAAAGGAGACCTTGCAAGGGGGAAACGTCTGTGCCATGCACACAGGCTCAGCTGGGCGGGCGTGAGATCCTGGCCAGAGGAGCAGGGCTCCAGCAAGCTGCTCCTCTGAATTCGGAGCGGGGGGAAGAAGTCCACCCAGCTCCTGGTTTGAGGGTGCGGAGAAGACGACATGGCTGTTCTGTCTCTTCCCCCAGCTGCTGGGGATAAACTGAGGGCTCCCTTGGCCGGAGCCCCCACGCACCGTCACATCGCCGGGGCTCTGCCGCAGCAGAGTCGGGCAGTCGCCCTGCTGAGAAGGGCTCGCCTCCGCGGGGTGCTGGGATCCTGCACGGGGATGGATGGGGACCGGTGCCACCAGCACCGTGCCGTGCGGCGTGCCTGCCCTGGCCGGCCCCGTATGGAAGCTGTGCATGGGAGGGCTGGGCACCGGGACTTTGCACCCGTGTGGGGTCAGAGTCCATCCTGCCTGCGCAGGACCGGATCGGCCGCAACCTGCCTGAGGCCCCACTACCGTGGCGGGGGACGGACGGGCATCGCAGGGGAGGTTTGGGAAGGGATGGGGGGCAGGAGCCCTCCCCTAGCTGTGCTGGGAGCTGTGGGGCAGACGCCGCGGTCCCCCGCGGTGTCCGGCTGAGCAGGTACGGGACTGGGTTGTGCCGGGACTGTGCTGCCGTCGTCGCTGCCTGTGGTCAGCGGAGCCGTTCAGGTGCACCCTGGGGCTGGGTGGGCGACGAGGGGGGGACACGGCCCCCACCTCGAGGCTTGCTCGGAGGAGAGACGTCGGTCCTTTCCCCATGCGTGTCACGGGGCCGCGGTGTCGCCGGTGGTGCCCGAAGGGAGGAAGCGGGCGGCCACAAGCCCTTCCTCCCCGGCAGCCTCTCCCGGGACCACCTGGGGCTGCCTGGCGCCAGGAGAAGGATGGGATGTGGCGGCGTGGTCCGATGTCCTTGTCCCCTCCTGCGTGGCCACAGGCGCTGGGCTGGACGGGTTGGCCGGTGGCACCGAGGTGGCCAGGGGAAGGAGGAATGTTCCTCTCCACGTGCCGGTCAGCCGCGGCCCTTGTGATCTCTGCCACCGCTGGAGTCACAGCGGTGACGGTGAGGTGGCCGGGGAGGGTGGGCACGGCCACGCGTGGGCTCAGCACTGGGGTTATAGCGAGGAGCAGCATGGGGGGGCTTTGGGGTGCTCGAGAGCAGCAGCAAGGCTGCATCCCCACGTCCCCATCCTGCCAAGCACGAAGGGGTACCCGCGGGGTCCCTGCCCGTCTCCGTCCCCCATCCCGGCTCCCCCCGGCACGCTGCTTGGCTGGCGGTGCCTCCCGGGGGCTCTACACCCTCCTCGCACACTTCCTGCCGTCTGTTTCCAATTCCTCCTGGCGTCTGCTCCTCCCTGCTTTCTTCCAATTAAAAAAATAAAAAAAAAATCCCAGGCATCTTCTCGGCGTGCGGCTCCCAGAGGCTCGAGCGCTGCCGTGCCCCGCTCCGGCAGGCTGGGGCTGCGTGGGGAGGGGATGGCGGGTGCCTGTGGCACCTCACATCTCTCTTTATGCCCATTTATGTGGGGGACAGGGTTGGGGACTGTCCTGCAACACCCCCGTGCCCAGGTTATTTCTCTTGCGCTCCTTTCTGCATGTCTGCTCCATGGTTGGGGTCTGGGACCAGCTCGTTTGGGGGGTGAGGGGAGCTCAGGGGTGTTTGGGGACCCGTTCCCTGTGGAGCGATGCCCTGCGTGGAGGTTTTTCCCAGGGGAGTGGAGCGGCGCGGCTGGCAGGCATGGGGTCACATTCTGCAGCCTGGCAGGGTGAGGGGCTGGTGTCGGCAGAGCCATGCCTGCCTGTGTCCTCAAAGCCTGACCGTGTCCCTCTCTCCTGTCCCCTAGGAGTGACCTGTCCGTGACGCCAGTGGGAGCCCAGCTGCAGAGAGCACCAAGCGTGAGCACCAGTCGGGTCCGTGGGACGCGCGGCTCCGTCTTGGCCATCCCGGTGCAGCGCGGCGCAACCCCTCCCTGCCGCGGCGATGCCGATCCTCAAGCAACTCGTCTCCAACTCTGCCCACTCCAAGCGGCGCTCGCGGGCCGACCTGACGGCCGAAATGATCAGCGCGCCTCTGGGGGACTTTCGCCACACCATGCACGTGGGGCGAGCAGGGGACGCCTTTGGGGACACCTCCTTCCTCACCAGCAAGGCGGGAGAGCCGGGGCCGGAGGTTGGCGAAGAGCCGGGTGCCTCCAAACCCAGCCTGCTCTCTCGCCGCTTCCGCAGCAGCAAGCGCTCGCAGTCGGTGACGCGAGGTGACCGGCGGGACATGCTGGGTTCGCTGCGGGATTCGGCGCTCTTCGTGAAGAACGCCGTCTCCCTGCCCCAGCTCAACGAGAAGGAGGTGGACAGGAGCGCGGCGCAGCTGCCCAAAAGCCTCTCCTCCAGCCCCGTCAAGAAGCTGCCCGAGGAGGTGAGCCCTGAAGAGCAGCAGCGCCCGAACGGGGCGGCCGCCGGGCCGCTGAGTCCCGGCTTGGATGAGCGTGACTTCGGGGACATCACGGAGCTGCCCGTCGTGGTGGCCAAGAGTGGGGTGGGCATGAAACACGCCGAGTCCATCATGTCCTTCCACATCGACCTGGGGCCCTCCATGCTCGGGGACGTCCTAAGCATCATGGATAAGGAGCAGTGGGAGCAGGATGAAGACCCCGAGGTAGAGGAGAGCCACGAGGAGGAGGTGGATGCCGCCCTGCCCGGCTCCCCGGCGGTGGTGACGGCAGCGGCGGCAGCCCTGCCAAGCCAGAGCCCATCCCGCGGTGCCGGCGGCCGCTGCCCCAGGGACAGCAGTTCGGCATCCAGCTGCACCTCGGGGCCGGAGGAGCGCAGCCCCGTTCCCGGGCCACCGAGCCAACGGGGGGGCCCCCTGAAACGCCCCGACAAGGAGTTCTCGTTCGCCGACGAAGACGATGACGAGATCAGAGTATAAAAGGCTTTCAGCCGAGCCAAGGGGTCTGGTTCTCATTTGCGGTTGCTTGGACACGGGGCTGAATAATCCCGGTGCTGCAACGGGTGGCACCGGGGAAGACTCAACTCCTCACTTGTTCCCTCTCCCCGTCGGACGTGCTGCGGCAGGACAGCGCTCTGCTCCTGGGGCCGGGGGCAGCTCCGATGCCTCTTGGTCCCCAGAGAGCTCCAGCACATCCCAGGAGGGGAAAGCAGACTTGATTTTGGTTCTTTCTGTTGGACATTGGATGTTAGCTCTTTTCTTCCCCCCCCCCCCCCCCCCCGCCAATGTAAAGCATATAGGATCAAACAAGATGAGGCTTTGAAGTTTTAGCCCCTTTAGTAATATATGTATTTTTTTCCGCCGTATGGTTTTTACTGCTCTCTGATTTGTACTTAACTTTCTTTACTCTCGCTTTTGGTTTTAACCGAGGGGAGATTTCCCATGAGGAAGGACTTGGCTCTGGAGCTCAGAAGGGGCCCGGGACCGTGGGCAGCTCCAGCTCCCCAGGTTTCTTGGGGACTTTCTGCAGACCAAGAGCCTCCAGCCCCATGCCGTGGTGGGGGCTCGCTCCCCAGCCCTCGGATGGATGGATGGATGGATCCATCCCAGGTGCTCGACCCTCCAAACAGCCTGGAGGTCACAGTGATGCCTCCTGGTCAGCCTTGGCACTGGCTGCTCTCGGGGATGCCGATGGGAGCGTGGGTTTGTCCCCCGTGGGAGGAACACCCGAGACCCCCCTGTGAGCCAGGGTGAGCCCTGGTGTCCTGCGTGCCGGGTGGCCGCTGCCGCGGGGCTGGTCTGGCTGGGCAGTGCCGACACTGGCCCGGTGCAGGCAGTTGGAAGAGGAGGGTTTTATACCATGTATGTACAAATGCAAAGAATAAAAGGAAACGGTAGTGACAGCAGTGGCCTGACCTCCTAGGGGACGAGACGGCTGGGGACGTGCGTGTTTGCACCCTGCTGCACGAGCGGGGACTGGCTTTCTCTTTGCTGCCACCATCCCCAGACCCTGTCCTGCTGCCTCCACCTTCGCTGCCTGTCCCTGGCTGGAGTCCTGCCTGGCGGCTGGTCCCCTGGCCGGCGTTTCGGCACCCGCAGCGGCCGTACTTTTATCTGCCCATCGCGCGGGGCTGCCTGCGGTGGGAGGAAGCGGGTGAGCTCCCGCTGTCCGGATCTGGCTCCGGGCTGGGACCCTCCGGCCAGGCTGGTTCCTGCCAAGGGACGGCTCTGCCAAGACTCCGCTCTCCTCCCTGCAGCCCTGCTCGCTCCCTGCCAGCCGGGCAGGAGGGGAAGGGGTTGGCAGGGCAGGACTGGCTGTCCCTGCTCCCATGGGCTGGGGGCCAGGGCTGGGGTTGCCCTGGGTGCTCCCGGTCCCTTGGGGCTGCCGTGGCCCCTACCAAGCCTGGGGTGTGAGCGGGGCAGGTTGCTCCCATCCCACAGCTCAGCCCCTGGTGGAAGCGGGGCTGTGCCGACGTGGCGGCTCTCTTCTCTTCCCCAGCCCCGCTGATGGAGCTGGGCTGTGATGGGGCGAAGTGCCAGGAGCAGCCCCAAAGTCCTTCCCCGAGCGGCTGGAGAGCATGGTTCTGCTGGGAGCACCGGCCAGGTTCTTCTCACCGGTGATGGAGGGGGGAGGAAAGGATTTTGCCCCTCCAACATCTCCTGGCCCCAAGAGGGGGCTGGGTTCCCCTGTCCTCCTGGAGGCATCTTCCCTGGTGAAGCCAGTGGGAGCGGGCAAGTGCTGTGCCACAGCAGAGACACAATGGGGTCCTGTGCGTGTGCCATGCCCGACACACCGCCCTGCGGCGTGGGACATTGGGCTATTGTCCGGGACGGGGAGAACAACAGCAGCTGCAGCTGGTGGCTCTGAGCTCACCGGGCTGCTTCTGCCCTGGTCACTGCAGCACAGCCCCTCTGCACTGTGCCAGGGTCCCAGGGCCACTGTCCCCTGTCCGTCTGCTCTGAGCACTTGTCCCCTGAGCCCCAATGGTTCTGGTCGCTGCCTTCTGGGAGGTCATCAGGCTGCTGAGGGGGGGACCTGGCTCCTCTTGTCCCTTATGGATGCTCTGACACAAAGCAGTGGGGCAGGGCAGGTCACCGGGGTTTGCACCCCTTCCCTGGGACCCCCTCGCTCCCCCGGGGTCTCGCTGGTGCTGCAGGGAGGGGAGAGTCCCTCGGGTGACCTGGCACTGGCTGCCTGTGACCGTCACTTGGCAATCGCGATCGTTGTGACGCCTGTCGGCTCCAGCCTCCAGCTCGGCAGCACCGTGCTGCCACGAGCCGACGGGGCAGAAAACGCGTGTTGGCTCGCTAAGCACGCACGGGACGTGGCCCCGCTCAACGGGACAGGATGGCGGCCCTGGCACACCGTGGGCAAGCGAGCACAGGGCCAGCGCAACGGGTCCTGGGCTAGTGGGGAGTAACACCAGCACCGCTGCAATGCCAGCAGTGTCCGGCCAGCACCTTCTGCAGGGGAGGTCAGGTCGGCTGAGCTGCACCCACAGCCTCCCCAAAATGCCTCCATCTGCACACCACAGGGTGGGCATCTCGGTGTGGGACCTGGCCTGTGTGTGGGACGTGGGTGGCACGAACGCTCGGTGCTGGGTCGGAGCACGGCACCTTGTGCAGGGCTGCGGCCGCAGCACCCGCAGGCGGCACTCCGGCAGGCGGGCAGCACTGGTCCAGTGCATTTATAGCTAGTGACAGAATGGGAGCAGGTCTCCATCCCCGATGTGTCAGGCCGTGTCGCTCCGGGCGCGTGCCGGGGATGCGCATGGCCGTGGGAGCCGCGTGATGGAGGAGGGACGGAGCGTTAGGTTAAACCCGGGGGCTGCGTGGTGTTTTCTGGGTGGGCTCCCGGCAGCCCTGGGAAGCAGCGTGGCACCATGGTCGTGCCTGGTACGTGCCACTGCAGCCTGGCACGTGTACGAGCCCCCGGACCCGTGGTGGGGACCAAAGGGGCTTCTCATCAGGGCATGAGATGTGGTCTGGCCATCCCCACCAGGAGCCCGGGGACATGGGTCTGTCCTGCTGGGCACCAGGCGCTGGAGTACGGGGCTGGGGATGGTGCCGCTGTGCACCCAGCGATGCTCAAAGCACTCGGCATGCAACAAAAAACTGCACAGGATCCATCCCTTTCGATCTGAGCGTTTAGTTGCAGGACTTGGGCCACATTTGGCTCTGTTTTAAGGCTGAGCAGCAGCCCCGGTGTGAGGGGGTTAACCCAGCTCATGGCCAGCCCCTGCAGACCCCAATGCTCCCGGGGAGATGTGGGCCAGCTGCTCTGCCCCGGAGCTGGGGCTGGAGGAAAAGCAGATGTCAGTGCAGAGAGGCAATTACGGGGGGGGGAATGCGATGGGGGCCCAGGGGCTGAGCTCCCCACAGCTGGGCTGCGGCACCAGGCAATCACGGCTGCAAATTGAGATCAGATGTGGGCAGCTTCTCTCTCTAAATGGAGCACTCCAGGTTGCTGCTTATACTGGTTTTGCTCTGGCTTGGAGAGGAGGGTTTCTGAGCACGGCTGAGGCCCAAGTTAGCTGCAGTGACCTGCAGAGCGTGGTGCTCCCTTGGGAGACCTGTGTTTTCCTCAAGCAGCCCCACTGTCAGCCCCTTTGCAGCCCTGCTCCCTGCTGGAGGTGGCTCTTGCCAGAGCGGAGGCGATGCAGGAGCTGGTGGCTGGTGTGGAGAAGATCAGGTTTGACTTGGAGGCTGATGTGGAGCAGCAGCGAGGAGCACGGCCCCTGCCCTTCCCGGGTATGGACAGTAAGTTGGGGACAGGGTCCTGTGGCATCCTTGGAGGATGACGAGTGCAGGAGGTGTTGGGGTTCTCCTCTTTGCTGGTGCTCCTGGCTCTTGCTGCATCCACCACAATGCCTGGGTGCTTCTTGCCCTGCCTTTTCCAGGGCTCTTGCCCAAGGTCTGCTTGGCTCCGGGCATTGCTCCGTCAGGGATGGATGGATCTGGCACAGCTTTGTGGGGGGTGCCAGTGGAGGGGGCTGAGATGCTCTCACCCTCGATGGCACAGTGGTCCCGGCACTGGGGCTGGCTGGTGAAGCTCTCCCTGCCCTGCTTTCCCCTGCAGAGCTGGGGTCGGCTGTCTGCGAGTTCTTCCACCGAGGGCTGTGCACCAAGGGTGAGTGCTGCAAAGGGACAGGGACGGGACTGGCACCACCCTGAAAGATCCTGGGGATGCCAGGGAGCAGGACGGGACCCCTCTCTGCTCCACGACCAGCCCAAGTCCATCCAGGTTGCTCTGTGGTCAGTGGGTTGGCAAGTTTTGGCCCAAAATGCTAAAGCTGCTCAGAGTCCATCATTTCCCCTGGCCCTTTGGTTCAAGCACTGGGGAGGGCTTGAACACCTCCAGGGCAACCAGACCTTGGCAGTGCCTGGGAAACTGAGCCCCACGCACCCAGTGGGTGCTGCAAATCTCCTCCACATCCTGGAAAACTCCTGCTGGCGTGTCCCAGGCTGAGGAGTTGGGAGGTGCTGGGGCAGGGGGGGGTCCTGAGTGCAGGCAGGGCTGGAGGGGCTGCGATGGCAGGGGCTGTGGGGTACAGGCAGGCTGTGACAGTGGATGTGTGCTACGGCCAGGCATGCGGTGCCCTTTTCGGCACGTCGTCGGGGAGAAGACGGTGGTGTGCAAGCACTGGCTGCGTGGGCTCTGCAAGAAGGGCGATGGATGCAACTTCCTGCACGAGTACGACGCGACCAAGATGCCCGAGTGCTATTTCTTCTCCAAGTTTGGTAGGTGCGGGACCGGGCTGGGGACCCCAGCGAACTTTTCCTACCCCATCACCCGTGTCCCTCGGGTCTGGCCTCGAGCAAGTGCCTGATGCCACCTCCTGTCTGTGGGAAGAAATGCCACTGGCTCCTGCCCAGGGCCACTGTTCCCCAGGCCAAGCCTGGGTGCTCCTGGGGCACCTCGGTTCCTCCCATCCAGCCCATCCTTGAGTGATTTCCACTGCGTTTGGCTCGAGTGAGCGTTGTCCCACCTCTCCCACCCCTTGCTCCTGCAGGCGAGTGCAGCAACAAGGACTGTCCCTTCCTGCACATTGATTCCACTACCAGCACCATGGGTTGTCCCCGGTATGACCGCGGTTTCTGCAGGCATGGTGAGCTGTTGGGATGAGTGCTGGGGTGAGCAGCGGCTGCCCGTGTTCCCTACCCACTGGTGATGGGGAGTCTGGACCCCACTGCTGGCCCAACCTCCTGCCACCTCTGAGGTGACGAAGCCAGAGTGGGGTGAACCGCAGTGGGTTGTCTGGGGACTGTCTGGGAGGGAGACCGGTGGGGATTTGGGCAGAGGGAAGCGAAGACCCCATAGAGCTGAAGGAGAAGGGGCTGCTGGGGGAAGCTGGGCTCCCAAAATCCCTGTGGGGCAGGGGTTGATGCCGTGTCCCCATAAGCAGGAGCCTCTCCTCTGCGTGGCAGGTCCCCTGTGCAAGTATAAGCACACGCGGCGGGTGATGTGTGCCAACTACCTCGTCGGCTTCTGCCCAGAAGGACCCAAGTGCAAATTCATGCAGTACGTACTGGGCAGGCTGGGGGGGGAGCTAGGCACGCGGCTGGGGGACAACCCCCTCTCCAAGGCTGCAGAGGTGGCTGTGGCCCTTGCAGTGTCTGGGTCAAGGACAGGGGTGCTTTGGGTCCTTATCTGAACTAACTGGACCCCTCCGGTCTCTCCCTATGTCCAACCTGAGCTGGTGACCACAGGGTTATCCCCATGGGGATGCCTGTACCAGCTGCCTGAGCCCCGGAACAGCCCTGAGAGGCTGTGGGAGCCGTGGGGGGATATGGGGGTACCGCTTGCCATGTCCCAGGGAGTAACTGCCTGTCCTCTGTGTCCTTCTCCAGCCTCAAGGCCGGGCTGATGACGAGCAGCATGGATCCATCCAAGGTGATGCAGGGAAGGTCCTATGCTGTTCCCTCTTGAGCTGAAGCCCTCTTGCTCTGTGCCTCTGCCCATCAGGGTGATGCACCAGCTGCCCCTGTCCCACAGCTCTTGCTTCCCTTGCTTCTGCCCCAGCTTTTGTGGGAGCTTGGTGGGACAGCAGCTGCTAACTGCCCCTCTTGCCCCACATCCCCCCAGGGAGCTGGCTGTCCTCGGGAGCTTGTACAGCTGGACGTGGCTGCTGGCGAGGAGAGTGGATGCAAGGATGTGCCACCCATGGAGACCCCCCTACCAGTCACCAGCAGCACCCAGCACCTGTCAGCACAGCTGTGGGACACCAATACCTGCCCTCGGGGCCCACAGAGCCTGTTTGAACAAGGCACCTGCTTTAAGTGTAAGTGTTTTTGGGACTGGGAGGCCTGGGAGCAATGGTCTTAGCCTTGGAGGGAGGGTAAAGCTCTATGGTGAGGGGCAGGATGTGGTGCAGGGACTCCCACAGCTCTCAAAACAGCTTCCTTGACTCTAGATGTCTGTCTTCTCTCTGGGCTGTTTCTCAGCCCTGGAACCTGCCCCCGCCAGGCAGCTGGGGTGTGAACTGGCAGGGAAGGAGGCTGTACTTGGGTTGAAATAATCTGACCGCAAGTGATGATGGGGACAAGGGACTTCTGTGGTAATAAACACTTGGCATGCAGTGGAATAGCCCTGGAGAGCAGTGAGCCCCTTGCATCCCTGTGGGTTGGAGGTTTGTTGCAGTTGGAGGTCTTGGGATGCTGCTCGCAGGTGAGAGCTGTGCTGGAACATGGCATGGCTCCATCAGCCCATTTGCTGGGAAATGGTGCGGAAATGAACATGTGGTAGGATGGCACTGGGTTGATCCAGCATAAAACCGATGCCTGCCTCCCCTTGTCCCCGCAGTGCGGACAGAAAGGTCACCACACCAGTAAGTGTGGGAAGAGGCAGCTGGAAATCCTGCTGGGGAAGTGACTCAAGTGCTCCCACATGGAACACGGAAGGAGGACACCGTAAAGCACAATGGAGCCAGCCAGACGGCTACTAGGGCAGTTGCTGGACTAGAAAAGCCAGTTGGTTTTGCTCGGCGCTGGTTCTCACAGCTCTTCGCACAAGCACCAGAGAAATCACAGCTTCCCTAATGCAACCAAAATTGGACTCTTCACAGCTGCCTCTGTTTCCCCCCTGCGCAGCTGCTGGCTGCATATGGACCAGGGCAGTAAGTCACTATGTGATCACAGGTTTGAAGGAGTATGGGACCAGCTTGTGCTGGGGTCTTGGGAGATCAGGGTGTGGGTGTGCTAATCCCCCGTGAAGGGGGTCAAGGAGCACCATTTTTAAGAACAGACAGCACCAAGCAGGAAAGGAAAATTCACAAAGGCTTTTATTGCTAGCGAGAGGGAGTTTTTGGTGAAACACCTCTGACACAGTACTACTGCACTGCTCTTTGAATAAAGAGTTCAGATTTTTTTTTTCTTGGCTTTTTTTTTTTTTACCCTTCATGCCTGTAACATGACCAACCCTTTTCCAGACATGTTTGATGATGGCAGGCTACAACTAGCACTCTCATAACTGTCCTCATTTGTCTGATGCAGACATCGGTTTGCCCTTTGGGCACAACAGCTAATCCAATGGATTTTCTTCCTCCAGAAATAGGGCGCTGCGGTCTGAGTGCTGCTGCTTTAATGCCTTCACAAAGGTCCTTCCCCCAGAGCCTGGGCAGTCCCACCAGTGCAGTGCTGACAGCGAAGCAGGGGCTGGGGGGCCCTTTGTGGAAGGGCTCTGTGGGGACCACCCTTCTCCTGCCAGTTGGCAGCAAACCCCATCGCGCTTGCTGTGGAGAGAGGTAAGTAAGAAACGGGCTGTGTGGGGCACAACTCTGCTAACTTAAAGGGAATGGTTATTCCAGCTGAAGCCCACCCTGCTACAACACATCACAAACTTTACTGCCAAACACTCGGACTACAACATACATGTCAATTAATAAATACATTAACAGCCCAGGTCAAGGAGTTGTCCTGTGTCTGGTGTCCCAAAGTGAGAGATTCAGGCTTCTGCAGACTACGGGAGCTCTGTTGCATACAGACCTCCGATGGGCAGCTCTAACACTTTCTTCTTTCAGTACTAAACACTGCCTGAACCAGACAGCAGTGACCTCAGGCTGTTACTGTCAGTGTCACCCCTGTCTACAGGAGGGTAACTGAAAAGCAGTTGTCCCCTCCCCCATTAAAGAACCTGTCTCTGATAGTAAATGGGCCTCTGCTGATTTGAATGCCCATTGGGACAGTGGTCCTGAGCACTTCTGCTGACTCCCAGTCAAATATTTGTGACTGTTCCTTGGGTGCTGTTCCAGCTTCTTCTTCAGTGGTATTTACGCCAGCGATGACTCTCTAGAAAAACGGGGAGGGGGGGGGAAACCAGATGAGTGTTAGCACAGTGCTATGCTTGGCAACTACATGAGGGTGCTTTGCCCAGCAGTGATGAACAGGAGGCTGAGTGCAGCCTTCTCTGTTTATGTGCTGTAGAGCTGCGCATGAGAGCAAGTCCTGCTGAGGAAACTACAGGAACACCAGTAAATCCCTTGCCAGTTATGAGTAAATCCAGGGAAGGGGTGCTTAGCGTTGCAACACCTTTTCCCTCTGCTTTGTGCAGGGTTTAAAAGTGCTCCTGACAGTTCCTTGTGCTCTCCAGGGAGAAGCTGTGAATCAGCAACTGTTGTTGCCACCATTATTAGCTGAATTCCTCTGCCTACCTAAGCCAGGTCACAATACTGTTCTTTAAGCTCTGGTGTTAGTCTTAAATGTGAAGTATTTAAACTTTCAGAGCCTGAATTAACATGAATGGCAAATAGACTTTCTACATCCTGCAAAAGGGGGAATTGCCTGAAATAAGACAGATACCAAGAAGGAAATCTTACTGATGTGCTGATAATTCCAGCCATAGCTGAGGACGCAGTATCCAGCCAGCAGCATAGAGATCCCAGCTGGTCCACCCCTCTTCACGTTGATGTATTTGTCATAATAGCTGCTCCAGGCTGTTGGAACATAAATGCAAGGGTCAAACCATGCAAGAGTCTTACGGAGTTCACTGGTTTCCATGTAACTTTCCAAAGCCAAATGGCTGGGTCTATTTATTTACTTCTTCATAAAGATCCAGACCGGCCACTTGGACCAGGCTGCAGCACGTAAATCTGGTAAGTGTGACAATTCTGCCCCAAGAATGAAGACTTTAGCCTCACCTTTCTGCACTCCTCCAAGCAGCCCCTGAAGAGAAAAGTTGCAGGTGGCCAGCCACGCAGGCAGCTCCCCGAGCCTTACATCCATCAGACGCCTTTCTGAGAGGGGACCTGTGCGATGAGAAGTCAGAATGGTCAAAGGTAGGAAAGTGAGGGCAATATGCATGGTGCTCGCATTCCCTGTGCTGGGTGGTGAACACGGAGCTGGTATCTGACACGGCTGCAAGTGACTTGGGCTCGGGACTGACTGCTTGGAAGGGAGGAGCAGAATCGTCTCTCCCACAAGGTGAGCGAGTTGGCTCTGCCAGCCCAAACATGCAAGAGCCTGACTCAGACCTAAATAAAAACACAAACCACTAGTTTTGCAGGCTGGAGGGTTGGACAGTCAACCTCCTGGGATCCTTCCTGGATCTCTTTCTGGACAAGCCCAGCAGCTTAGTGTTTCCCATCCCTCCTCTCCCATTCATACGGGACTGTTTAGCCTGACAGTGCAGTAAACCTCGGCAGCAGAGACTTTTCTCACGTTACCTTGTTGTCCCTCTGAGAAATTGCCCCTCGCTGTCTTCACTGTGATCCCCACGTCTTCGTGGAAAGGCTTCGCTGGAAAAATACTCAGCCCATCATAATTAGGATATAAGTCTGGAAACCACTCCAAGCCCATGGCACCTGCCTGCCTGCTCCTGCCAGAGGCCTGGGATAGACAGATGGGTTGGCTTTTGGAGGTGTGGAGCAAGAACTGGTGCAGTGCCAGCTCTGTGTCCCTCCTTGCATTCAGGATGGGTTCGGAAACTACAGCCATCTGCTCCTTGCTCTCTCGAAGCTTTTGTATGCTGGTTAGGTAATTTTTGGATGCCCCTTCATTGTGACCTCTGAAACCCTCTATTGCTGACAGATGGAGGCTCTTCGTATGCAAAGCAGAAACAGGAGCTTTGTATTCCACACCAACTTCAAGGTACATCTGCTTCTCTTCTGTCATGGTTTTGTCTATTTCCTCCTGCTGAACGAGGTCACTGGGGCTACTTCTGCAGTCAGCTTCAGGGGGATCTTGAAGTGCGGGTATTTTCGTTGCCTTTAAACTACTGCTTTTTTCTCCCTTTGAGCTCTCAGACGTGTTCTCCACTGCTCCAAGGCTGCGCGTCTCTGTGTTTGCAGTATCTGGAACAGTTATTCCCTCCTGTGTGTCAGGCTGGGCTGCGTCAGCGCGGTCAGCAGCGCTGCCTGGATCCGGCCCTTCCACAGGTGACCTGTGTGTGCCGTGGCTCCCTGCTGAAGCATCCCTGCTCCTGGAACCGCTCTTCTCCCTGATCACCCTGGCACGGTGCTTCTCTATTACTATTTTCACTCCATTACTCAGCTTTTTGGGTATATCTTCAACCTCCTCGGGGAGCAAATCAAGGGACGTGGCTAACTCCTGTACTGCGGGTTCCACCTTCCGCTGTACGTGGCCTCTGTTGGACTGGTGGCAAAGCTCAGGGTCGGACCCTCCACCCTGCTCGGCTGCAACCTTCTGCCCCTTCCAGGCCGCCGCATCCTTCTCCACACGTCCTGCCGCCGCTTCCCGGGGGACAGCACCGGCCAGCCCCTGCCCCACGCTGGCGCTGGGCAGCCGTTTGCCACTCTTACCCACCCGCGGCCTGCTACCTGCCCCCTGCCCGGCGGTAGCGAGGCCGGCTCCGTCCGAACCAGAGCCGCTCCCGGGCGCAGAGGGCCCGGCGGCCGGGCCTGGGCCTGGGCCTGGGCCTAGCCCCGGGGCGCTACCGGTGGCTGAGCTGGGCGCGGCCTTGCAGTGCGGGAGGTGGGAGCGGAGCCGCTTGAAGGGCTTGTGGCAGTACGGGCACAGCTCTTTCCCCGCCGGTGCCGCCGCCATGTCAGCACAGGACCGGGCCGCCCCTGCCGGGGCTGCTTTTCCGTCAGGCGCCGCCGCCACTACTCCC